CTGGGGATTGGCCCAAAGCCTCCCAGTTGGCTTTCCTGCCCAAGATTGCTTGCAGGCCTAGGGCGCCACTGGAACTCCCAGTCTCCCGGCGGCAACTGTGTTACTAACTTAACTGCAGTGATTCACTTAACAGTGGCGGCAAAAGAAAGGTTGTAAAGCGGGGCAAAACCCACTGAAGACACCTTTCACTTAGCGACATAAACGTTGGTTGTAAATCGAGGACTACCTGGAATTCATTCAGCTGAGGCTAGTGGCTTTTTTTGGGGAGGGGGGGGGGAGGGAGAGGTAGGGCTGCAAGCCCCACGTGCTCTACCACAAAGCAGCAATGCCACTGCCCCAACTGCCCCAATTCCTTTCACCCCCACCGGCTATCGCTCCTGCTCGTTTTTTCCCCCCTTCCGTCCTTTTTTGTACCATCTGGAATTGAGGATCCGGGAGGACTTGTTCCAACTCGTAGAGATAATCGCAGAAGAGTTTCTCCACCACTTTCATGAAAGCTTCCCCGTAATCCAACTCCAGGTATTTCTAAAAGCCACAGGAAAAAAAAAAACCAGGAGAGTCTTTACTATAGACGGCTCAGAGGGATGGCCCAGCGTACTGGGCTTCATAGTCCCAAAGGGGCTTTTTTTAAAGAGGCAACTGGACTTTCTGGTTTTCTGGTTAACATACATGCAAATTTCAACCCCAAGAAGGCAGAAGCTTGTCCACCCCAAGGATAAAACACCCAGACGCAAACTGAGCCATGTGGTCTGTGCAGTCCAATGCAGTGAGCCACGTGCAGATCTGGATATTGGGGAAGCAAAACAACCCCTTCCTAATCTCAGGGCACAGCCTAGGAGAACCAACCCCTCAGGACTAGATTCAGCAGTCCATCTGTGTTCGAAAGACAAAGGCCACCACTCTTTGGAAGACAGCAAATCCCTATGTTGGACAGATAGGACCGCTGGTTTAAAAGAGGGGTCCAAGAGGCCATCTAGGTAAAAAAAATTGAAATCAACAGAGGGAGAGATGACATTATCTATCTTCAATCTACAACACAGTGCTTTCAACTGTTCCAAGAAGGCTCCACACCCATCGGCACCACTCAGGTGACCCTGAAGACACAGACAAACCTCCAAGTGGCCTCAACAGCTCTCTAAAAAGGATGCAAAGGACCAGCTGTCTGCAAGGGGTACAAATCCTTCCATTCCCCAGAGCCAAAGAAGCTTCCTGGCTGAGAAGCGAAAGGTCTTCGAAGGAAAACCAGAAAGTCTAATTGCCTCTTGAAAAACGGCACCTTTGGGACAACCATCACCTGGATGGCGGAGACTCTCCCTAGAACACCGGGCTTTATAATTTAAAGCAACACCTGTCCAGCCTCGAAGCATCCTCTGTCAACTTTAAACTCGGTTCACCCCGTTTGGCGAAGAAAGCAACTGGTTCCTTCCCTCTTGTGCGGCTCAGGAATTTAGCAAGAATGCCTCTTAGGCCAAAGTGGAAAAAGACACCAAATCTCCCCAACGAAAGAACAGCTGGGAAAATGGAGGGAGCCAGCAAGAGAGGTGGCTGAAATGGAGGGCTTGTATCAAGGAACACATCCAGCTTTGTTTCTGGTTGCAAACTGGTTTGGGGTTCGAGATGGTAGGGGGGTGGGAAACATTGACGTTCTGATTTTGGGATTTGTGGATGAGATGGGTTTGTCACTATCGAAGGGGCCAGTTATAAATAGAAGAATTAATCAGTGGAACAACATGGCTCCAGAAGTTGTGAATGGAAGATACATTGGAAGTTTTTAAAAAGATGTTGGATAACCATTTGTCTGAAGTGGTGTAGTTTCCTCCCTAGGCAGGGGTTGGACTAGAAGACCTCCAAGGTCTCTTTCAACTCTGTTATTCTATTTCTATTCCATTCTATATTCCACTATTCCATTCCATTCTGAGATTAAGCGGGCGAAAGTAAAAAAAGTGAAGGCTGAAAGTTTATTCTCTGGGTTCGACTGCACCGAAAAGAGTGGGAAGATTAAAACCTTTTCTTCATTTTTTTTCCACTTTTATGTTGACAATCTCAGTAGACAAAGAATTGGAGGAGGAGGAGGAGAGAGGGAGAGAGAGAGATAGATAGATACAGTTACAGATAATCAGCCTTGGAAGGGATCTTGTAGGTCATCTAGTCCAACCACCCGCCCAAGCTGGAGACCCTACACCATTTCTGACAAATGGCAGTCCAATCTCTTCTTGAAAGTCCCGCAACTTCCGAGGGCAACTTCTGTTCCATTGGTTGATTGTTCTCACTGTCAGAAAGTTTCTCCTTGTTTCCAGGTTGAATCTCTCTTTGTTCAGTTTCCACCCATTATACCTTGTCTGGTCTATAGGAGCTTTAGAAAATAGCTTGACCCCTTCCTCCCTGTGGCAGCCCCTCAAATATTGGAAGACCTCTATCATGTCTCCCCTGGTCCTTCTCTTTACTAGACTAGCCAAGCCCAGTTCCTGCAACCAGTCATTGTATGTTTTAGCCTCCAGTCCCCTATTCATCCTGGTTGCTCTTCTCTGCACTTTTTTTAGAGTCTCAACATCTTTTTTATAATGTGGTGACCAAAACTGGATGCAGTACTCTAGGTGTACTCTAGACAGAGATAGGGAGACAGAATATATATGTATATCTGTGTGTGTGTGTGTGTGTGTGTGTGTATACATACACACACACAGAGATAAATTAGATAAACAGACAGACAGAAAGACAGAGAAATAAGTTAGATAGATAAGATGTTAGGTGATTATAAAAATGATGTGATGGAAGACAGAAATAAATAAGACAGACAGACAGACACAAAGCGGTTCAAGTCTTCTGTAGATACCCTTGTCCTCCAAGCCTTACCTGCACATATATTTCCTTCTGTGTGCAGTCACCCAGCAACTTCAGTACCAGAATTCTGAAGTTTTCTTGGACTATTTGTACCACCTCCAGGTCCTGAGCTGTCTATGGACAGAAAAAAAAGAGATGGAACGATATCATTCGGGGGTGGTGGTGTGTGTGTGAGAGAGAGAGAGACAGAGGGAGATGAGAGAGAGGAAGAGAGAGAAGGTTGGGGGGGTGGGGAGAGAGAGAATATGAATCTCCTTAAGGGAGAGGGGAACGGAGTTATCCACAAGGGCTGCATGAAGGATGCTAGAATCATTTCTACCAACACAGAGAGACTCACTGCTTTGGAGTGGCAGAGTGGAGCCTCATTCTCCGGGAAGTAGATATCCATAGCATGGTATATTATTTCTTGGGGCTGATCTTCCTGAAACATGTTCATGATAATCTGGGCAAAAGGAGAAAGCAAGAGAAGGTCTGCTTAGGACGGTTCTCCCTGAAAAAAACCTGAGTGCATTATTAGTTTTTTTTTTTTTTAAAAAAAGCCTCAAACTGGCTCCCAGTAACTCAATATGAGTGAAGTGGGAGCGGCCGGATTGCAAATGTTGCTCCTCTTAGCCCCGTTTCTCCATCTGTGCAACTTTTAAGATGGGTGGAATTCCCCAGCCAGCAGAGCTTTTTTTTCCTGGTGCCGTCGTAACTTCGGATGGTTCCTAAGCAAACTGTTGTAAGTCGAGGACTCTAACTATATTGTTAAAATAATTTGTTTGGATTAAGGGGGAATATTTGGACCTTTCAGGCCAGTGCTTCGCAACTTTGGCAACTTTAAGACTGCTGGACTTCAACTCCCAGAATTCCCCAGCCCGCACAGCTTTTTTTTTTTTCAGTGCGGTAGTAACTTAAGCAAACTGTTGCAAGTCAAGGACTATCTATATTGAAGCTGGTATATTGAAGGTAACTTAAAGAGTTTTATTTGCAGTATTCATTGCCTCAGAGCTGGGGGTCTCCAACCTTGGCCACTTTTAAGACACGTGGACTTCAACTCCCAGAATTCCCTAGCCAGTCAGCCATGTAGGGTAACTTTCTTAATAGATGGTGGGTATGCAGTAAGGGTAATATATCTTGCAAAAGCAGGGGGGGGGAAAGCCGGCTGGGGAATTCTGGGAGTTGAAGTCCACCAGTCTTGAATCAGGGGGTCTCCAACCTTGGGCACTTTAAGACTCGTGGACTTCAACTCCCAGAATTCCCCAGCCAGCCATGGAGGGTAACTTTCTTAATAGACGGTGGGTATGCAGTAAATGTAATATATCTTGACTTCAGCAAAGTGGGAGGGGTGAGGTGGGGGGGAGAGCCGGCTGGGGGATTTGAGTCTTAAAGTCGCCAAAGATGGAGAAATACCTTCTATAGCTTTTATCTCAATGCTTCCCAGACCCGGTTAAATGGCCCCACAAATGGGGCAAAAGTGGTTTCTCTTTGGGGTCCCGAACCACACACCAGCCCATTCACCCCATCCGACTCCAAGGCCCATCATCCCCCTTCCCCGGAGAGCTTTGCCAGGTCGGGAAGCTCGCCTCTGCGCCCCACGCCCGCCTCCTTCTTACCTTGGCCTGCAGCCCCAGGCGCAGCTTGACCAGGTGCTGGAAGGGAACCAGCTCCGGCGCCGTCTCCGCCACGTTCTGCAGGAAGGTCAGGACCCGCGGGAAGTCCGAGAAGCTTCGCCCGCGAACCACGTGCCAGGCGGCCGCCGCCACCACCTGCAGGGACACGGCGGCGCAGGGCCCCTCGGAGGCCGCCTCGCCCGGGGGATCGTCGTCCATGGCAGAGCCGCCGTCCTGCGCAACCACAGCGGGGACCGAGTGAGAGCGGATCCAAACGGAAGCGCCTCCTGCCGGCTCTGGCCACGCCTTCCTCTCGACACTCCGCCCCCCACGGCGGAGGTCGCGCCCCTTAGACCGCCGGCTCCCAATCCTGACTCGCGCTCCGGCCCCGCCCCCCCCGAAACCACGCCTCACTCGCGCTCCTCCCCGCCCACTAGACCCCCCCCCATTCCCGCCTTCTTCGCAATCCAAGGACGGCCCCGCCCCCTACATTGCCCGCTCCAATCTTTCGCGCTTCAGCCCAAGAAAAGATCCGCCCCCTCCGAAACCACGCCTTCCTATCGCTCCTCGCCGCCCACCAGTCCCCTTTCAGTCCCGCCCATTCCTTGCCTTCTTCACATTCCAAACAAAGCCCCGCCCCCTACGTTGCCGGCTCCAATCGTTTTTCGCGCTTCAGCCCCGGCAAACGACCGCCCACCCCGAAACCACGCGCCTTTTTAGCGCTCCTGCGATGCCAAAGGTCCCTCCGTCCGAAACCACGCCTTCTTTGCTCTCTACTCCCGCGGAGGCCCCGCCCCCCATGTCCCTCAACCCCGCCCTTTAAGCGCTCAATTCCCCTTCCAACGTCTTGTTCGCGCTCCCGAGTCCTGACCATTACAGGCCACGCCCCCGAAGCCAGGCCTTCTTGCCGCTCCCCTCCGCGGAAGCCCCATCCTGCAGCGCCCCTCCCCTCCGCCTTCGCCTCGCCCCTTAGAACGCTCCTCAGCGGAGGCCCCGCCTCTATAGCAACCGCCTTTTCTGACCCCGCCTTCTTTGCGCTCCACCTGCAACCGCGGAAGCTCCGCCCCCAAACGGCCTTCATCGTTCCACATCGCCTTTCGACAGCTTGACGCCCCGAAAGGGACGTTCGCCATGCCGCTCCCTTCTCTCCTCCGCCCCGCTTTTAAACCTCCTCCCCGCACATGGAAGGCCAAACGGCTTTCGACCCGGCCTCCCGCCTCGCGACTCATCCCGCACCTCCGCTCACCCTGCACATGAACTTTCGCTCTGTTTCCATGGAGACCTGCCGCGCGTCGCCCTGCCGGAATCGTCACTTCCGGTTTGGGACGAAATTGCCCTCCTTGGCTTAAACGGCAGCGGCCTCTGGTGGTTGCCTGTGGTATAGTACCAGTAGGGCATCCGCTCTTTTGCAGTTCTCCTACTAGCTGATGGGAGTTGTAGTCCCATGTGTTTGAAGGCTCATGGGGTTTGGGGACTAAATTCATCCCCAACATTGATCCTTTTTCATTTTATTTGGTTTCAGACCTGCTTTCCATTCCAAAACTCAAGGCACAGGCTCCCTAAGCAGGGGGTTGGACTAGAAGACCTCCAAGGTCCCTTCCAATTCTTCTATTCTATTCCTAGGCGTTCTCCACACAACAACCCTGTGAGGGAGGCTTCCCTGAAAGAGGAAAGGACTTTGAGGGCCCCTCCCTCTTTTAGGGAAGCCTCCCTCACAGGGTTGTTGTGCGGAGAATGACAAAGAGAGCCAGCGTCTTCCGAAACAAACCCCAGAGTCTCTCCTTCATAGGCATACTGGCCTGCAAAGCTGGTTTGTTACGTTAAAGCTGGTCTGTGCAACAGACTTTGCAAAAGGCAGGGCTCTACCATAAGCCCAGAGTGATATTTTTCAAACTAGGCAAGTTTAAGTGGACTTCAACTCCCAGAATTCCCCAGCCATCACAGCTGACTCATATTTATGACCTACAGGCTGGCTGGGGAATTCTGGGAGTTGAAGTCCACCTAACTTAAAGTTGCCAAGGTTGAGAATCAGTGGCTCAAAAAGACTTAATATTCACTTTGCATAGGCAATTACAAGAAAACCTTTGGCTTTCTCCAACTGAGTATGATCTACCAGCTGGGTGTATGATCTACCAGCTGGGTGATCCTGGGCCAGTCACCTTCTAAGAGAGAATGGCAACCCAACCCACTTCTGAAAAAAAAAAAACTGGCCAGCAAAAACCATGATTTAATCAGATGCTTGGAGATGCCTTCCACCAGGTGGTCTCTTCCCATCACTGGTGACCTCAGTCTGCCTTTCCTTGCAGGAGAAAATCTAGAATCTGTCACCTCAAATCTATGGCTTTCCATTCTTTTTAGTGGCTTGTATGGTTTGTAGGTGGTTTTATATGTTTTGGTACTCTGTGTGCGCGTGTGTGTTGCCCAGGGTCAGGAATGTGAAAGGAGCAGCTATAAAAATTGAAGCAATAAATTGGAACCCTTTTTAAAGTTGGCAGTTCTCTCCAGAGCTTGGAGACGCAATGGGCGCTTTGGACCGTGGGAAGGAATCTTTCTTTTTGTCTTACTTCCCCCTTTTCTACCACATTGAACACTGAATATTTTGAGAGTCTGAGCCTTTGACCCGTAAGTGGAAAGAGAAAACATCCCAGCTGAGGCTGTTGCAAGGGAAAATCCATTTACCATGGCATTGAATAAAAATTAACCGCTCTCCTATAAGATCTCATAATTGTTATATGTAGACATGTATAAATCCATCCAACCCTTGACTAAGCCAATCAAAATACTTCAATCAGAATAGAACTGAAAGGGGTCTTGGAGGTCCTCTAGCCCAACCCCCTGCTCAAGCAGGAGACCTTGTACCATTTCAGACAATTTGCTGTCCAACCTCTTTTAAAAAACCTCTAGAGATGGAGCACCCACAACCTCCGGTGGCAAGTTGTTCCACTGGTTAATTGTTCTCACTGTTAGGAAGTTTCTCCTTAGTTCCAGTTTGCTTCTGTTCATGATTAGTTTCCACCCATCGCTTTTTATCCTTCCTACAGATTCTTTGGAGAATAGGCAGCCCCTCAAATATTGGAAGACTGCTATTATGTCACCCCAATCCTTCTTTTCTCTAGACTGGCCAAACCCAAATCCTGCAACCGTTCTTTGTATGTCTTGCAGATTACAGATTACAGAGAATCAGAGTTGGAAGGGACCTTATAGGTCATCTAGTCCAACCCCCCCGCCCAAGCGGGAGACCCTACACCATTTCTGACAGATGGCAGTCCAATCTCTTCTTGAAAGTCTCAAGTGATGGCGCTCCCACAACTTCCGAGGGCAACTTCTGTTCCATTGGTTGATTGTTCTCACTGTCAGAAAGTTTCTCCTTGTTTCCAGATTAAATCTCTCTTTGTTCAGTTTCCATCCATTATTCCTTGTCTGATCTATAGGAGCTTTAGAAAATAGCTTGAACCCTTCCTCCCTGTGGCAGCCCCTCAAATATTGGAAGACCTCTATCATGTCTCCCCTGGTCCTTCTCTTTAGTAGACTAGCCAAGCCCAGTTCCTGCAACCGTTCATTGTATGTTTTAGTCTCCAGGCCTTTAATCACCTTAGTTACTCTTCTCTGCACTTTTTCCAAAGTCTCAACATATTTTTTGTAAAACTGGATGCAATATTCCAGGTGTGGTCTAACTAAGGTTTTATAAAGTGGCACTGTGAAAAATGTGCTACCCTCAGGTAAGACTACCACTGAAATGTTACATTTTACAATTGGCATCTATAGGTAATCCATGGTTTATCTGTTTGTTTGTTTGTTTCGTGGTATTTGGGCTGAAAAATTTGAGGGTCAACTTATCCATGGATGAGTTTTTTTTTCCAAAAAGTTTTTTATTTTTTAATTATTTAAATACATTTTTGCGAGAATAGTGTATTTCCAGGTGTTTTACATTTTAAACCAGTCATATCCATACACAAATACAACTTTCTAACATCACATCATTATCTATTATCATATTTTCTTCTTTATATTCTCATACATTACTTTATATCAGACTTTTTATTTTTATTCATTTTCTATCTTCCTTAATTGGGGGTGGAATTCTACTGGTTCTGTCCGGCTCTATAGAATCAGTAGCTCTAAAGAGCGGCAGACATAGAACCGGTTCCATGTCTGCTGCTGTTTTGGCCCGCCCGCCCGCCCGGGCTCTTACCTGACCTTTATTTCCTGCTTTTTCAACCTTAGCTGCTTTGCGCAGCACAGCTGCGGTTGAAAAAGCAGGATAAAAGAGGCTTTTTCAACCGTTGCGCACCCACGCACAGCGCTGCTCAGCTGTCCAGGCAGCAAGCTGACAACGATTCACACGCACACGCAGGGGTGGGATCCGATCGGTGTAACTATCGATTCGGTGATTTACGATTTATGATTTGTGCGTGCATGCGCGCTTTCCGCGCAAATCGTAAATCGTAAATCACCGAACCGGTAATTACACCAGTCGGATCCCACCATCCTTAATCATATATTCAACATGTTTACAGTTTAACCTATTCATATCATTTCATTTATCATTCAAAATTTCATCTTCATTTATAGTTATCCCTTAATAAATCCCCTTTTGATTATTACATTTGCCTCTATTACATATGATTGTGTTTTCTATGTGCTTCCTTCCCTTTAACTTCTCATTTTTACATCTTATTTTCTTTTAGCCAGTATTATCAAACTTATAGTAATATATCCTCATTACCTTATACAAGTGGGTAACATAATATTTAATTCATTAAAAATATACTAATCATTCTTGTGCTCAGCATGTTTACAATTTCCTATCATTCATTAAGCATTCAGAATTTCATCTTAATTTATATTATCCCCTATTATATCTCCTCATTATTACATTTGTCACTGTTGCATATATTTTTTTATATATTTCCTTCCCTCTAACGTTCATTTTTACTCAAATAACTTTTCTTTTAGCTAATAATATTAAACTTATAACATTATAACCTCGTTACCTTGTATATATGAATAACAAAATATAAAATTCATTAAAAATATTATCCTACTACATGGTTATATCTATTCTGTCAGGTTCTACATAATATTTCTTTCCATATTTTATTTATTAATCACTTAGATCTTACGTAAACACTTAGCTATCTTACTTAATCTATTATAAGTTCTTATTTTCATATCTATTACATTTAAATTATTCCTTCTTATTCTAATTCTTAATCCCAATTCCTCAAAATCTATTATATATGTTTTACTACAAATATATCTCATCATGTGGAGTCTTCCTCTTTTCCATTTTAACCATTGTCCCTAAGTCTTTCTTTTATATTGATTCATCGTCTCTTTGCTTGTTTACCATTTTCTATTGTTCTTTGGCTTTTTCCCTTAATCCTTCCTCCATTTATCATCATTCTCTGATAATTTCTCTCCCATTTCTCAAAGTTTGCCCCCTCCTTTTTTTGATCTCCTCTATGTATTTCCCTAATAATTTCATTTATCAATATTCCAGTCTCAGTATCCCCCCTCTTATTTATTATATCCATCATTAATATCTCATATTCAGCTTTTTTCTTCTTTTGTTATTTGTTGTTCCTTTTGATCCATTTCACTGGTTTTTCTTTCTCCCCCTTCTTTGTTCTTTCTTTTTCTTCTCTTACCATCATCATTTCTGAATTTTCCTCTATATTCTGTATTTTATTGCATGTCCAACATTCTATCCCACGTCTCATTCATATTTTGAATGTCCATCTTCATTTCTTTACATATGTCACTCATCTTTATATTGCTTATTATTCCAATTATCCAGTATCCAGTAAGTTTTATTTTATTTGAACCAGTGTCTTCTTTTTTATTTTTAAAATATCAATATCTTTATTTCCCAATGTTATTCAGTCTATCACCAACAGTTCCAGGGGTAATATCCGCCTGTATCCTTACTCTTTGATTATAATGTATTTCAACTTCCAGGGGTCTTTTTATAATGTCTTTCTTTTATTCCTTTTTGATTTCTTCTTTGATGAAATTGTTAGTTTGAAGGGATCTGCAGGATTTCTCTTTCATCAACAGATAGCGCTTTTAGTTCCAGTTTCCACTTTTTTCCGTTTCTTTATTTAGCTTCAGCAATTGTGAAAATCAAATGTTATTCCTCTTTTAGAGCAATTATTTCCAGCATTCAAATTAATGCCTTTCAATGCCAAATCCTGTCCGATCGCCAATTCCAAATTAGTATTCTTCCAGATTAATTCCTCTTAAAATTTTAAGTTTTTAAAAACTCTTTATATTTCCCAATTCTTCTTCTTCTTCTATCTTCCAATCCGCCGCTAGCACAATTCTGTAATCTTCTCTGTTATAGTCTTTTTGTGGTTAAGTACATATAAAATGAATTCTTCTCGCCCTTCTCCAGACACCGTTCCCAGTCTCCACTCTAGGGCTGCCCTTAGATGTTCCTCAGCTGTCCCAACTTTGTAGTGGCCGTATTGGCCTGCTCTTCTCTCCGTTGTGGCGTAGAGAGCAAGTTTGGGGTTTCCACAGGGGAGTTGTATTCTCCCCTGGAACCTCACCAGGAGCCTCTCTTTTGTTTCGCCGCCCCTCCAAGGTGGCTTTCAGCTCCATTCGGAGCCCGTAAATGGTGAGAAGCCAGTGCTGGAATGGAGACCTCTGTTCGCTGCTTCTAGTCTTGTTGCGGCGTCAGCTGGAAGTCCCCCGTGGATGGGTTTATATGTGAGTATTATGTTTATTTCTTCTGTTCAGTTGTGTCCAGTTCTTGGGTGGGGCCTGAATACATCCTTGCAGTTTTCTTGGCAAGGTTTTAAAGAAGTGGTTAGAAATTAAGTACAGCAATCATAGAAATAGGGAACTGGAAGGTACGATAGACTTAAAAGTTTTAGATGCAACGTCTTGCGGAAGATGGAACTGCTTTAAAAAGAGTTGCACAAATTTGTGGTTTGGTAGATCAGCAACTATGGTGCCATTCTGATAAAGTGCAGCCAGTATTTATTCTGGCTCATAATTCTGAATTTTGTCATTGCAGCAAAGAATTAAAAGGGACCAGAATGACAAGTGAAAACTGAAAAAGTGTACCTCGGTTCTGATGGCAGCAGCAGAGGGGAGCCTCTCTTTGAGTAACTAGGAGTTTCTTTTATTAATGTGTTCTAATTCTTTTAAGTAGCAAAGCAAGTTCTCCAAAGAAATGTAGGGTTTGAGAAAAACTGCCTCAAGCTTGCCAAAGACAAGGGTTGGCTTACGATGGCAATTGAACCCAAAATTTCCTTTGCGAAGGTAGAGAGTTGTTAAGTGAATTTCGCCCCATTTTATGACCTTTCTTACCATGGTTGTTATGTGAATCTCACTGCAATTGTTAAGTTACTGTGTTTTCCCGAAAATGAGACCCTCTTATATATATATTTTTGCCACCAAAAAAAGGCACAGGTCCTATTTTTGGGGGATGTCATCCATTAACTAACCCCCACGTCGCCCCTGGCTTCCTTTTCGCTGTCAGAGGCCTTCAGAAAGTTCTTCTTCTGCAGCCGGCCAGGCTTCCCTGAAGGCCTCTGCAGCCTATAACAGCTCTGGATCGATCCTGAGTTTTGTTATCAGCTACAGAGGCCTTCAGGAAAGCCTTGCCAGCCTTGCTGGCTGCAGAAGAAATGGGCCGGCCAGGCAGGTGTCGGGGTGTGCAAGGCCTGGCTACACCTGTCCAAAGGTAAGTAGTAGGTCAGCTCCATACACCATATCCCCACCCTAGCTTAACTTTTACCCGTGCACTCTGGAGTGAGCGGGATCTTAATTAGGGCTTATTTTGGAGGGGGGGTAGGGCTTATATTGGGTGCAGGTATAAAAATCAAGCTAGGATTGCTTTCAGGGTAGGTTGTATTTTTGGGGAAACAGGGTAGTAATAGGGTAGTAATTAAGTGAATCTGGCTTCCCCGTGGACTTTGTTCATCAGAAGATCGCAAAAAGGGGATCATTTTACAACCGTCATAAATATGAGTCAGTTGCCAAACGTCTGAATTTGGATCATGGGTCCAAGGGGAGGCTGCAATGGTTGCAAGCCACTTCTTTCAGTGCCGTTGTAACTTCAAACGGTCACTGAATTGCTGCAAGTTGAGGACTACCTATAAAAAGATATTAATTTATCATTACAGCTCGGATCCTATTTGGATCCTATACACACTGGGCTACAATAATCTTGCCACTGTTTGCAGCTAACACACATCGATGTGCGATCAACGCATAAACCCACAAATTTCCACCTCTGAGCAACAACCTGAAAAGCATAAAACCACGGCGTTATTTTTAAAACAGCATGCTACGAGTTAAAAATCATTTATTTTCAAATAAATACCTATATTAGTACGAACACACACACAAAAAAATACCATTTTTCTTTTTCTTTTTCTTTTTTTTTTTGCTTCATTCATGGTCCATATAGGTTAAATGCAGTACGATAGAAACATAATGAAGAATAAAGATCTGGCTAGCCATTAAAAAAACCTTCTCAGCTCCGCATTAGGGTTACATGATCAGCTGTCTCGATACTTTGAATTTGCATATATTTTAATTGCATGAATGGCAGAAGCCCGGCTAGCCAATTTATTTTGCATATAACCCTCCTCAGCAATCTGACTTCGACTTTGCCCTTACATCCAATTCCTGAAAAAAAAGGAAAGCTAATAAAATCCCACCCACCCAACCTCCCACCCCTGAATTTGTCCAATCAAAGAGAGGGTGGGAAAACAATGGGAAAAATTCCTAGAAATTTCCTTTGGCTCAAGTGAGAAGACCCACCACTCATTTTAGGGAATAATAATTTGAAAAAACAAAACAAAAACAACTTATCACTTCTCCCGTCGAACTTCTCCAGAGATTTTGCACCATTAGTGGAAGCAAGCGTGCGCAAGTGAAGATCAGCATGCGTTTAAAGGAGGGAATAAATTTCACGGTGAAAAATGGGTGTCAAGTAATAAACATATTGTGAGGGGGATTCTTTGCACAGTGTGGCTGGATGGCGCAGCCGGGGCAGTGGGGAGGGGGCGATGGGGGGTCTCAGAGCTGGAGGGGCAACCAAGTCCTTGACCCACATCTCAGGTGAACGGTGTGAGAGGAAGAAGATGCTTCGATTGCACCCAACGGGGGTCTCGACCCTAGAAATTGCAACTCAATTGTGGGGTGATTATATATATGGAAAAAAAATAGTATGCAGGGAAAATGATGGAGAGGAACAAAAATGAAGAAAAGAGAAATTGGCAGATGATGTTTCTTGACGTTCACCCCCCAGGAGATACATTTTTTTTCACCGGCCCTGTGGGCTCGGCACACCCCACTGTGGTTCCGTGGCTCGGGCAAGGCCCCCCCCCCCTCTTCATCACCCAGTTGTGCTGCGTTGTCACATCACACTTGGCACCGTGGCTAAGAGCTGGCTCAAACGGGCCGCCCTGTGGCCCCTGGCCTGGAGGCGGCAGCTGCTCCGTGAGCATTGGGCGCTCCTCCGGGATTGGGCTGGCGGCTGGGGGTTCCACGTGCATTTGTGTTGGCGTTGGCGTTGGCTGGGGTGCTGTGGTTGGCGGGCTGCCTTCCAGGAGAGGCCCGAGTGACCGCAGGGGAGCTTCGAGCAGCTGCAGGGGAGCCTCGTGTACGGCCAGGGGAGCCACGACCCCGGGCAGGAGAACCCCGGGCAGGTGCTGGAGAGGCCGACGGTCCCCGCGGAGGATTCTGGGCCACGTCAATGGTCAACACGCCATGGACCTGAGAGAGCTGTGGGCTGTCCAGGCTGGCAACCAACTGGCGACGTCCGGCACGCAGCGGGGTGAAGTTCTGGCAGAGTCGAACGGTTTGATGCGGACCGATATCCCTGCAACGTGAAAACAGACATTCTGGGTCATGTTTGCAAATCCCCCTCAGGAAAAATTATGCACAGGGAGTCCTCGACTTACAACAGTTCGCTTAGTGACCATTTGAGGTGACAATGGCCCTGAAAAAAGTGACTTATGACCATGTTTAACACATATGACCATTTGAGCATCCCCTTGATTTACATTCAGATGCTTGGCCACTGACTCACATTTATGACAGGTTTGCAGCGTCCCGGGGTGTGTGTCACGCGATCCCCTTTTGCGACCTTCTGACCAGCAAAGTCAACGGGGGAAGCCAGATTCACTTAACGACCATGTGGCTAATTTAACAACTGTGGTGATTCACTTAACAACTGTGTGACTATGTTAACAGCTGTGGTGATTCACTTAACAACCGTGTGATTAAGTTAATAGCTGTGGTGATTCATTGAACAAACACGGCAAGAAAAGTTGTAAAATGGACCAAAACTCAATTAACAAATTTCTCGCTTAGCAACATGGATTTTGGGCTCAATTGTGATCGTAAGTCGAGGACTACCCGCACTTGAAATTAATGTTGTACCAAGGTGAGGGAATGTTAATGAATAGGAAAATGGAAGTGGGAACCGAGAGGAGATATTCAGAATTTTTTTTTTTTGTCCATGTACAATTGTTCTTGCTACTTTCCCCTGAATTCTCTGCTTGGAAATCTGTCCAAGATGCTCTTGTGGCTTCTTCCCCCAGGAGGCATTTGGTCTAGATGATCTCTTGGGTTCTACCCATTTTATGAAGTGGTTATTTTTTTTCTTTGACAAAATCACACCCTGCTTTTCCTCTTTAAAGCACACTTCATAAAATCGTTTTTTCCCCCCTGGAAGTCCTTTTAGGATGGAAATAATAGTTTTTAAATTAGTGTTTTTCAACCTTGGTACCTTTAAGATGGGCGGGCTTGAACTCCCAGAATTCCCCAGCCAGCACAGCATAGCATAGAATTCTGGGAGTTGAAGTCCACACATCTTAAAATTGCCAATAGTGAGAAACATCAGGTGGTCTTACTCAATCCTTCCCCTGAAAATTGCATCTTTCATTATTCCAAATATATTTTCACTGTTTGATCACTAGCCAAGTAATGACCCTTTAGGTAAAAGACAGCATAATTCCTACTTCTATGTTCAATATTTGATTCCAAAGACCTCTCCTTTCCAAAGCTCCGTGCACCAGACGAACACGGGGCAATAAAATATTGTTGTGGTGGTCGTGAATTTGGGCTGAAAAGTAAACATCTTCCTCAAAAGTGTCTATTTAAAGGGCCACCCCAAAGAAGAGGGGGTCCACCTATTTCCAAAATCCTGAAGGCAGGACAAGAAGCAATGGGTGGAAATTAATCAAGGAGAGAAGCAACTTAGAACTAAGGAGATATTTCCTGACAGTGAGAACCATTAACCAGTGGAACAGCTTGCCACCAGAAGTTGCGGATGTTCCAACACTGGTGGTTTTTAAGAAGAGACTGGAAAACCACTTGTCTGAAATGGGATGGGGTTTCCTGCCTAAGCAGGGGGTTGGGCTAGAAGACCTCCGAGGTCCCTTCCAACTCTGTTCTTCTATTTTGTGAGGACATCGAATCACAGGAAGAGCGAAAACACACCATGGGTAGCTTTCTACAGATCTACTCACCCGACGGTCATCGTGTTGGGGGTTGAAAGTCCGGATCCTTCCATGTGGAAAGTGGCTTTGGTCAAAGTCACAGGAAGGGGGTTCTTGAAGACAATCTGGACTTGAGTCTCTTGTCCAACGATGGCCGGACCCAGCAGCTGCGGATGAGAAACAATGAAGGATAATGGCACTAAGTGGTTGCAAACGGAACCTCAAGAGCAGTGGTACGATTCAATCGGTGTAACAACCGGCTTAATGAATGTACACTTCAGTGTAACAACCGGTTCCCTCGAACCGGTCCGTACTGGCTAAATCCCACCCCTGCTCAAGAGGCCGTAAAAGAGAATACAGGTAGCCCTGTATTCATTCAGTGACCATTCGAAGTCACCACAGCCTGGAAAAATGTGGTTTGCATCTTATGACCGCTTCTCTCTCTTACAAACATGGCAGAACGCCCACGATCGCACGATCAAAATTCAGGCCCTTGGCAACTAGCATGTATTTGCAATGGTTGCTGCATCCCGGGGTCAGGGAATTTCCATTTGCAATATCCCCAACCAGCATCTGATGAGGAAAGTGGACAGGGGGGGAAGCCAGATTCACTTAACCACTGCATGATTTGCTTAACGACAGCACTGCTTTGTGGAACAGCCGTGGGGGGTGGGGGGGAAAAGGTCGTAAAATCAGCTAAACCTCTGCCTTGTTTAGCAACAGAAATGCTGGTCCTTCTTGCAGTTGGGACTACCTCATTGCCTACAGGCAGTCCTCGACTTACAACAGTTCATTTAGTGACCGTTCAAAGTTACAACGGCACTGAAAAATGTGACTGAGGGCCATTTTTCACAGTTACAACCGTTGCAGCATCTCCAGGGTCAGATTGACTCGTAATTATGACGGTTGCAGGGTCCCAGGGTCACATGATCCCCTTTTGACAATTAAAGTCTATGGGGAAAGCCAGATTCACTTAACAACTGGGTTAGTAACTTATCCACTGCAGCGATTCACTTAGCAACCATGGCCAGAAAGGTTGTACAATGAGGCAGAACTCATTTCACAAATGTTTCACTTAACAACAAAAATGTTGGGCTCAATTGTAAGTCGAGGACTACCTGTATTTTAGAAATATATTTATATATATATATATATATTTGCTCCCTTGGTGCAAAGAAACACTGGTTTTAGATATATCCAAAGGAAAATTTTATACCTAATTTTGCAAAGGGAAATAATGCACCCCCCCCCCTAGGAGTAGTATGTTTACAAACAGCTGACTAAATAGCTACAGAATACAGCTCATCCTTGCTTAGCAACCACATTGGCACCTGTCATTAACTAAAGTGATCACTAAGTGAAAGCATGCTTATGACCTTTCTAGAGCTTTCCTTGGCTTGACAGACCTGTGAAGGTCGTAAAGACTAAGAGTGGTTGTGAAGTTATTTTTTTTGCCACTGTTGTAACTGTGAACAATCACTAAAGTCAGTTGCTAAATGAAGACTAATGTAGAATGTATCCCAAAGAGCACGTGTCTTGACTAGAACTGGTATCTCCAAATTTGGGGACAGCTGAAAGAATAAATTTCCCTAAGCAACATCTCATGGGAATCCTAAACTTCTGGGTTCAGATCTCACCATCCTCGTCCAACTTAGTTTGTCGGACATGGCTGGTGAGGGCAGCCCAGAGTCCGTGTCGTACCGTCAGGGTGAGATCCGGGGTGCGAAGACGGAAAGTATGCTCCTTCGCGATGACCTGTCCGGTTTCAGTTACTTTCCCGGAGATGCTGAGCTTCATGGCTCCTTGGTCCACCAGATGGGGCTTGTACTCGGGATAGGAGATGACCATCGGAACCTGTTGAGCTGCGAGAAGGAAGGCAGACAATTTTGCGGTCAGGTAGGCAGAGACCCTCAGGATAAACAAATACCAAGGTTTCCTTTCCTTGTTTCGCCCAGCCCATTCTGCATTGCAGCACATTCCTTCCTGACAAACCTATAAAGGAGGTGGCCCTTTTGTAGAAATTCTGTTTATATATAGCACCACAATTAAAACAAAGAGCACAGTCACCATGCACTTTACTGCTCAACTACCATAGATCCAAACTTGTAAACACTGCCATCTATTGGCTGAATACTTATTTCCTAGTTCTTCTTGCAATAAATTACATTCCAACAATGAATTCCAACACTCTCAACCACCTCGGGTCATGCCTCGGGTGGCTGGAGATGGTTACCTCCTCCTGCAGGAATCTGGACCTGCCGCTGCTCCTGTTTAAAATTGCTGCCAGTGACTCCCGTGTAATACATGACTGCCACAAAGAGATTGAGAGAGACGTTGCGAGGCATCGAACTCCGGTTCTTCAGGATGACCCTCAAGGAGATGTCCTGTCCGGTGTAGGCCTCTTGGGTGTCGACCGTCACCGAGATGTCTTCTCCCCACTCTTTGTTGGTGTAGATGTGGGCCTTGGTGCCGTGCTTGGCGGCAGTCTCTACTGCTTTGCGCTCAGCTTCCGATCCTATGGGAAGAATAGAGGATTCAAAATGGGGTCCCTCTCCTCAATCCGAAGAGAGAGACCCAAAGAAGACCTTGAGGAAATACGCCGTTTTTAGGTAGCCAGGTAGTCCTCGACTTACGACCACAACTGAGATCTTAACCCAAAATTTTGACCCCAAATTCCTGTTGTTATGAGAGACATTTCTTGCGTGAGTTTTGCCCTGTTTTATGAGTGAGTGAATCACTGCAGTTGTGTAGTTAATGACACGGTCGTTCAGTGAATCTGGCCTCCTCATTGACTTTGGTCACAAAAGGGATCATTTGATCCCGGGACACTGCAACCATCATAAATACGAGTCAGTTGCCAATATCCGAATTTTGATCTCATGACCCTGGGGATGCCGCAACGGTCCTACGTATGAAAAATGGTGATGAGTTACTTTTTCCAGTGCCATTGCAACTTTGAACGGTCACTAAACGAACCATTGTAAGTCGAGGACTGCCCGTACTTTTGTCACCACTATGCCAATCCTTCTCTGTGAACGTTGTCTTACCTTCGGGGTGCTTGTAAAGGCTGGTGATGTCTTGCCGTTGATGGGACCCCACGGCTTTGGTGCTGATGAGGTGGCCGATGGCTTTTTCTTCTACGTAGACGATCTTGAAGGTGCCGTCGGCTTGGCGTTGCCAATACACCTTGTCGCTGTTCACCTGAGAAGACATAGTGTCACCAATCTGCCTTCCTGCCGATTTTTCTTGAATGACCGATCTCAACTAAGCCTACCCAACTGCCTTCCATCAAGGACTTGTACACTGCACGAGTCAAAAAGAGGGTTGTGGAAATATCTACAGACCCCTCACATCCCGGACATAAACTGTTTCAACTTCTACCCTCAAAACGACGCTATAGAGCACTGCCCACCAGCACAACTAGACACAAGGACGTTTTTTCTCTGAATGCCATCGCTCTGCTAAACAAATAATTCCCACAACACTGTCCAACTATTTACAAAGCCTGCATGACTATTCTTCTTCTCATCCTTCCTATTACCTATCTCCTACTCTACTCATGACTCATGACTATAACCTTGCTGTTTGTATCCTTATGGTTTATACTGTTTTATTTAGTTTCTTGATTTATATTGATTGCTTATTTAGTATCCTATGACTATCATTAAATGTTGTGTCTTATGATTCATGATGGATATATTTATGATGACTCTGATAATAGTTTATCAGTTATTTACACTGAGAGCTAATGCACCGAAGACAAATTTCTTGGGTGCCCAATCACACTTGGCCAATAAAGAATTCTATTGTCAGCGTTCCAACTAACAACCTTCAAACCAATCAACTCCAAGACAAGCATTTTCTCAAAATCCCATTTGATTAGAGTTGTCATATTGGCACATCTGGAGAAACCCGAATCTGAGAGTTCAGGGTTTCCCCTTCCCTGTTGTGGTTAGCCGGCAGCAGGTGTGGACAGCTGAGGAGAGTAAGGCCTCAAATGAGGGCCAGGACCATCAGGGAGTGGACTGCTGCCTTCAGAGATTGTGGGGGCTGGCAGCAGCAATGAGGAGGTTCCCAAGGAGCCTGTGCCAAGTGTGTGCGCGCACAGGATTGCTCGTAGGAAAGAGCAGCTGCAACAGCATGGGCGACTCGGGAGTAAGGCTGCAAGGTAATGGCCCCTCCTTCAAGAAGATAAAAGCCAGCTGTGAAATGAACGTACTTTGCAGAAGGCAAAGACGTTTTGAAACTCCAGCCTCGTGGACATTCCAGTATCCTGAGTTTGTATTTCAAGATTCTTGTATTGCAAATTATTTCTTGTCTGTTATATTTTGGCAAGTCTCGCGCAGTTTGGAAAGGCTTGTGCTTAACACAGCTAATTATTTTGTAAAAGCATTACAAGGTTTCTGTTCCTTTTGGATTGTGTTTGATTTGTTGGAAAAGGGTGTGGGTCAGAACATTCCCAATAGAAATTCAAAGATCCTAAATCAAGATGGCTGACTAATAGTAGATGGGAATTTAGGATTAGGCAATTAAACTGTATTATTAATATTAATAGTGGGTTAAAGTATATTGTGAATTTAAAATATTAAGGACTAGAAATTGTGTGTGGGATTTTGAGATACACTCCCTGGGATTGATTAAATATTGTTAATACTTGGCGTTTTTAGTAATCCTACACATTTGGAATATTGAAGTTATGGTGGAATAATGAGTAATTCTTAAAAAAAATATCAAACGTATTTAGGGATAACAAATATAGGGCGCGGAGAAATGTTATTTATGTTTAAATGAATTCATGGGAAAATGATAAATGGGATTATGAAAAGAGACTAGCATTGTTGAAGTTGGAAGATTAGAATTACACACACTTATTTGTATTATTATTGTTACTGTTGTTTAAAAAAGACTTGACCCAGTCAATACAACTATCCACAAAATATGTATGTTTATACTGAAAAATAAAAAACTTTGATGGGAAGAAATTCAAAGATTCACCCCCTGCACCCACCAGTCTAACTGGAAACCTTCCTCCAGACACTCCTCTCCAGGTGTAGGGCAACATGTCCTTGACTCTCTGAGAAAGAATGTTGTTGACTCTAATCTTCCATCTCTCTACTACACCCCCCCACTCCGAAATTCCCATGTACTAAATGATGGGGGCAGTCTCCAAGCTACCAAGTAAAATATGGCTTCCAAGGCGGACACTTTTTCTATCTGCTCAGACGCTAAAAGAAGACCCACCTCGGCAAAGCAGAAGGAAGCGTCGTATTTCATGTAGACCAGACCGTTCTTGATGGCCTCCACAGAGCAGGGCCCACAGCAGAAGATCCCTGTGGGAAGAGATGGGAGGTGAATGCGAGAAAGGAAAATGGAGAAGAGGCATCAACTCCTCCACACTTTCAGTCTAGAACCTGTCAGCGTTCCAGCAAACCTCCATTCCAAGCAATAACTCCAAGACAGGCATCCTCTCAAAAGTTCCTTTTATTTGGATAGTAACTGGCACAACTGTGGAGTCCCAAATCTGAAAGTTCCAGGCTTCCTTGCAATAAGTAAATAACTACAAAATCCATCCCCTACACCCATCACCACATCACATGGCGCAATCACCATCCGTCTCAAAGTAAAACTTCCTTTACACTATGCACAACACAACCCGACCTTGAATCAGGAAAAGGATTTTATTATGTCTAACTAGATATACTCCGATGAATTCCCCCCCTCCCACTTTCCCAGGCTCAATCGTGGCAGCGTGGGAGCATCGGATTTCAATATGGCTTCCAAAGCTGACAGAACTTTCTCAAGGGTTTTCCAAGGGTTGGAGATCCCATTTCATAGGAGAGCTTCCTCACCAGTCCCTACTTACCACTGCTGGACTCCTGAGGGGTTGCATCTACCACTTGCCACCCATCGAACCCTGAAGGCAGATCTGGTCGCTTCATCCAGCAGTCGTTCCAGACGTGGAAATTCCTGCATCCAAGGGAGGAAATTCAAATATTCAACTTCAGTGCGTAGTTGGAAGGGACCTCAGAGGTCTTCTAGTCCAACCCCCTTCTCAAGCAGGAGACCCTATACTATTTCAAATAAATGGTTGTCCAATCTCGTCTTAAAAAATCTCCAGTGATGGAGCAACCACAATTTCTGAAGGCAAGTTGTTCCACTGGTTAATTAATAGAACTAGCTGGATACCCGTGCTTCGCTACGAAACTATGAGGTCGGGCTTAGTTTTTGGGGAGGAAAATAAGGGGAAAAATTTTCTCCCTCTGCCCACCAACATCCATCGGTATTCATCTGGCTGGCGTCCTGTCAGTGTGTGAGAGAGTTGAGGGCTGTTTGGAAACTGAAGCAGTATTTGCTGTGTGAGCAAGAAGGAAACAGCAAGGAGCCTGGGCATGGCTTAGCTCAACTGTTCTGTATTAAAGCTGCTTGGTGCTGTGAAACTGAAACTCCTCGGAGGAGGAGGAGGAGGAGGAGGAGGAGGAGGAGGAGGAGGACGAGGAGAAGGAGGAGGAGGAAGAGGAGGAGGAGGAGGAGAAGAAAGAGGAGGAGGAAGAAGAGAAGGACGAAGAGAAGGAGGAGGAGGAAGAGGAGGAGGAAGAAGAAGAGGAGGAGGAGGAAAAGAAG